ACTCATGTACCTGTGCAAAACTTGCAATGAGCAATTAGTGCTGCTAATGAGAGAGCAAGTCACGGTATCAACAACAGGAGAAATCCATCAGCATCCTGACAAACCTGCAATCCACCCTAACCCACACGGGCTGGTCTGATCTGGAATTATCCCAGTAGCCTTTTGGGGCAGAGGGAGGGAAAAGGGAATGTGGGTGAGATGGTGGCAAGTGGCAAATTCCTACCCACAGGAGAGACAAGAGGTGTCCAAAACCACCTGTGTTCCCGTCAGAGGCTGTTGGTAGGAATGGGAAGGGGGTGCTGGTACCACCACCACTTCAGCTCCAGATCAAAATTCAGCAGCACAGAGAAGGCCCTTGCTTCTTTGTGACTTTCCAGTGCCATTGGCCTGGGGATGGGAGTTTGTGGGGCTGAGCATGCAAACCGAACACTCCCAGGGCAGGGAATGTTGCTGGCAGTTTCCTGGTAGCTGTGATTAATTGTTGTTAATATTAAATTCAGCACTTTTATGCAGGACGCAGAAGTGCTTAGGCAGAAGCCCAGCTCCCATCCTACCTGTCATTAAAAAACATTGCAATTAAGCTCTACTGGAAGGAAATACAAGTAAATGCATCCTCTGTAAGTGGCTTCAGCTTTCCACAGACATCTGTGTCCCCTGTTTCCTCTTCGTCTGGCCGAGCTGCTTCTGTTTTCCCTCTTCCCATGACCCATACATTGCTTTTTCTCCTTAATCCTGCCCACAGCTCCCAAAGGCAAGGGCTAGAGGGGGAAGGAAGGGAGCCCCAGGTGCCTCTGACCCATTGCCACCAGTGGAAAGTTCATGTCAGCTGCAGCTGCAGCCCCAGCCCCAGCCAAAATCAAGGCTGTGCTCTGAGTATCTGCTCACCTAGTTGCATCCTGATGTTCTCTTTGGTCCTCTCTGTGGGCAGAAATCCAAATACTTCGGCAGGAGGAAGGGGTGCTACTGCCCCAGCTTAAAGCATTTAACAAATTATTTCCACTTTGCAGCAGATCTGCATGGGATTTTCAGCAGCTGAGACCTGCTCCTGCTAAGGTAAATGGGGACAGACTCAGCCAAATGCTCCAGGAGAGCCAGCCCAGCCCCAACCCTGCAGGTCCTGGCACAGCCGGAGCTTTGTGGCAGAGCTGTGCCAACAAGCACAATCATGGCAAAGCTGAACAGGCTGGGGGGTTATTGCTTCCCAGGAAAGGGTTTTCCCATGGCATTGTCCCCATTTTACTCCAGCTGTGATTCTTCACCTGGAAAAGGATGAGGCAGGATGTAAGAGGTGGGATGTGGGGCAGGTAGTGATGGGTCAGCCCAAGCCAGAGGACACCGAGAGGAACTGTGGTGGCAGGGCCTGAAGGGACAACCTCTTCTGCCTCTCCCCAGTGACAACAGGACTGTGATGCAGCCAGAAGTTGTGGTTAAAATTTAGGGAATGCCAGGAGAGGTGGGGGAGAGTTACAGCCACATACAGCCAAGTCTGCCAGGTCATTGTGTGGGCAGAGTCCCCATTAGGTCCTTAAAGCCTGGGAAAAGGCAAAAAAACAAGATAAGACATAGGGGCAAGGGAGCTGGAGATAAAAAGAGGCAGCAAGATAAAAACAAACCCGGTGTCAAGGACAATACCAGTGCCAGGAATACTACATTGAAAATTTTGGACCTGGAGGGATAAAGATCATGCAAAAGGTGTCCTGAGTGCCAAAGCTGGCTTTCCAGAGCCACAAGGGATGCTGGCAGAATCACAGAGGGTCAGGATAGATGGGCAGGGCAAAGGGGCACCAGGTGTGCCCAAATTTGGGTAGCTCTGGGGCTCTGGCAGCTGCAGGGCCTGGCCAGCTGGAGGTCTGGGGTGCAACGTGAGGATGATGGGTGCTGAGTGGCAAAGAGCAGTGACAACAGTGCCCACACCAGCCTGTGGCTCTGGCCACATCCCTGAGCTCTGCTGATGCAGCTGAGGAGGGAAAGGTTTTGCTGGGATCATGGTGCTGATGAACACAGGGTTTTTCCCCTGTTGCTTGCAAACGTCGTCATCACGTATATAAACACAAAAGGCCAAAATGTGAGTCAGCCCAATGGCAGTTTGGCTCCTGCACCAACAGCCTGATAAATGGTGGAACCAGAGCTTGCAGAGGGGATTTATTCCTGTTTCGAGGGTTTCAAAAAGTTGTTTCATGGCAGGTACAATATACTGCTAAGATATAAAAGAAAAAAAAATCAAAATTAAAAAAAAAAAGTATAAACCAGGGTTTTTCCCAATTAGTTGCTCTCTATTGATGAGGGGAAACGTTTCAGTCTCAGGTAGTGGTCAAACATACTTTTTAGAGGAAAGAAATGCAGACAGTATTTGCATGTGAGCCATAGATGCAAATTTTATGAAGGTGAATATTGTATGAATATTTTTTTCAATATTTGCTGAGTAAGTTTTATGGCCTAGTGCTGTGATCCAGCATAACAAAAGGTCCTATTCACACAAGGGCACAGATCTGAGACCACCTCATGAATTCCTGAATTTCTCAGGGTTTTTTTTTCAAACATAAAGGATCCCAATGAGTCAATTATGAAGACCTTGATATAATATCTTTTTCTTATTTTTATTAAAATGCCATAGTTTAAACTCTGCTCTGTAAACAGTCTGGCCTTCACTTCTATCTCCAGGTGTCAATAATCCCATGAGGGTCAGCAAAACCAACCACAGATATAAAGTTGAGTGTGTGTGAAAAGTGTCTCCAGGACTGAGGCCAGCGATTGCAAAACAGTTTAAACTATAATCCTCCATTTTCATTAGTTTCTTGAAAAACTTCTGCTGTGGGCTTGAAATCCTTCCTGTTTTGTTGAGCCAAAGGTGATTTTTCTCCCCAGCAGTCTGAGCACAAACCTTCCCGCTGGTTTTATATTGTCAGGCTTCAAAAATCACATTTCCCACTAAGGACATTCTGCCCTTTTCACAGAGAGAGCTTGACATTGACATCTATCATGTAAACAAAGCTAATTAAAGACAGTTATTACTTGCTAGATATAAAAGTCTTCCAACTCCACAGTCCCGTAAATTTGGCTGCTTTTGGTAAGTGAAACTTTGTGCTCTCCCTATTCTGCAGAAACATTGAATACATTTCCAGCCTAAGAGGTTTCTTCAGCCCTCTATCTCTTTATTTTCTGTAAGATTTGAGGCCTATACAAGGGACTTCTTTCAGTCCACAGTGTTTGCCATGTCTTTGCCTTTAGATGCAGGAGGAGGATGGAGCAGCCCAGACCATCCCTGCTGTCAGCTCCACACTGCTGCAGCACCCACAGGCACTGGGAACATCCTTCATTCCTGTGGGTTCATTTTTCAGCCTAATATATAATTTAAATAAGACCTCAGCCCAAAATTCTACATCTGCATCCTCTCCTAGGGCACTGAGCAGCACAGAGGTGGTGGGCTCCAGGCAGTGGCCACCTGAAGCTCCCTTCTGTTGGGAAAAAGAAATGACCTCCCACTAAGATGTCACTGCTGTGTTGCCTTTTTGGGGAAAAATGAAGGCAGTGACTCTGAGCTGCTGAAGTCTCTATGGTTAAAGAAGCACAACTGCTCATCTAGGAACAGAGGTGGGCTGTGGGCTGGCTTGAGGTTAGGAAGATGATAATCTCTCCAGGAGCCCTGCCCACATTTCTGGCTTGGAAGAAAGTGTTTGAGGCTGTAGCAAAGTGATGGACTTGGTGCCTCCTGCTCTGAGCAGTGCAGCTGGAGGGGTGAGACGGGCAGGAGGGAAAACTGGATAAAAATCCAAACACCTCCACTCAAAGTGTCTCTAAAGTAGTCCATGGGACTTGACTGTGAACTGAACACAATCAGAAAAGGTAGCAAGAGATGCAGATGAAGGGCAAATTCTTCATTAAGAGCTGAAATGGTCCAAATAAAGAATCAAACATGGCAACAGTTATTTGAGCTATAATAGAATGAGACTTAATGAATATGTGTTACACTGTGAAAGGAGAATAGAATATTTTCTCTGCTCTTCAACAGAGATAAAGCTGAGGAAAGAATGGAAACAAGGATGGTAAAAGAGGATAAATGAACAGACAGGAAAAAGCCACTTGGAACAATTAATCTGCTTCTCAGCCCCCACTTCCTTGGTGCATGGCTGGAACCTTTTCTCTTTCTCTGGTCACATGTCTCTGCCTCCCAAAATCACTGCAGAAGTATAGAAAATCCTTCAGATGGTGGGATACCTTACTTTAATTTTCAGCCAGGCTTCAGCTTTGTAGCTTATTCAGTAACAGGTTCTCCAGGTACACAGGAATTTAATATTAATAACAGATGTTTTGACTGAACTTGTAAGACACACAATGACTTTTTGTTTGGGTTTTGTTTGGTTTTTTTGTTGTTTGTTTGTTTGGACTGAAGAAATACTGAGCGGCAATTTCAATTCCTGGTTTTCTTTTCCAAGTGTTCTAGAAATTAATTTCCCAAATAAATAGACAAGATGTGGGACAGTTTTAGGCATGAGATCACACACAGGAGCACCATCTTTACCAAGTTCCCTTTGGTGAATAACTCATCCCTCTGAATCTACCAAGCAACCTCTGAGCAGTTCTCACAGGTACAAATCATTCAGAGCTTCTGGAAGCTGCAGTCTGGAGATAACCTTTGCTGAGAAATTGCTGGACAGCCTGCCATGGGATTTCCCCTGATTGTTCCACTGAGAGTTTAATGTGTGCCACAAAGCACGGGGGTGTGATTTTTGCTTGTTGATGGTGGTTGTTGGTTGTCCCATTCACCCAACTCAAAGAGATTTCTAGTTTATAAAAGGATTAGGGTCCCATTCCTAAATCCTGGTTACATTTAGCCAATAAATGCTGGATTGCAGCATTTCTCCCTCTGTGACCTTTCACTGGGTTCTATGTGCCACCTTGTCCTGCTCTCCAGCTCCCACTTTTAAGAAACATTTGCTGTGTTTTCAGTTCTCAGAACCACTATTCCCTTTCCCCTGTGGAAGCAAGCATTCCCTCTTACCTCTGTCAAAAGGTATTTACGTACATGCCTCACCCACAACCAGCAGGACCCAATCCTGAGTGACTTCACACTTTATTTCCACAATGCACCACTATTGTCAGGGCAGCAGCACCACAGGTAAAAATGCCTGGAGGATGTGATAACCACTGCTGCCAAAGTGTTATGTTTTAGTATTCTCAGCAACATTTTCTTCTTTTGTTTCCTTTGGAAACAGAACAAAGCACATGGCACAAACATGCATTCATGCTCAGTTTTAAACATGAGTTTTTGGAAGCTGTTTGCTTTCACATTCAACCTGGTCCAGTGGAACATGTCCCTGCCACAGCAGGGGGTTGGAAGTAAATGATCTTTAAAGCCCCTTCCAACCCAAATCATTCAATGACTGTTTGATTCTATAAATTTCCCCATATGAATCCTTGTTTCATCCAAGTTTCAATTCTACCATCGCAACAAAAATTTGAAGTAACAACTGGTTCCTGTGTTTGTAGACAAAAGTGAATTTTTTCCAAGCTTGAGAACACAAAAGTGTGTAGAAATGGTCTTAAATACAAACTAAAAATTGATATAATAGTTTTTCAATGCCTTCCACTTCATACTTATCACAACATTGCTAAGTTGCTGAGATATATCTGCTCCACTGAAGGAGCAAGAATCATGTATCTTTTTGTGGTTGCCTTTGCAACCACACAGGTGAAGTCCTAGGTATAGGTGAGAAGAATGTTCACTTCAACCCTTTTGGGGAAAAAAAAAGTGCACCAGAAATCCAGTATTACTGAGTTTGGTTATTTTTTAAAAACCTGTTGGCACCCACAGGGCAGAATAACAGATTTGTGGCTAAAATAGAGCCAGGGAAAGAGCAAGTGAATCTATTCAGGGATGCAGTTGGGAACACTCTGCTTGGCTCACACCGATGGCTCTCACCAGATCCATTCCCCCTCAGCTGTGCCTGGGGTCACCTTTCCACCACGGATCAACCAAGACGAGGGATCAGGTCACAGAAATGCCCCAGCAATTCTCTTCTTCCTAGAAATCTAAATTTAAAAAGGGCCTAGTGCACACATAGCAAATGTTTCACGAAGTTTTACGCTGTGTAATTGCTTGTGGCACATGCAATTCCTTAGCTGGGGTTTTCTGTGGATTTGCAGCAGATCTTCCTTCCAAACCTGCAGTGTGTGCACAAGGTGACTGCACAATCCTGTAATTACACCTGTAAATCCTCATCCCCACCTCTTTCAACTGAATAATCCAAAACACTAAATATAAAACATGCTTCAATTTGCAACTGCATTGTTGCAAAAATCCAAAAATGGTAAAATTGTGTTGCAACTTTCACACCTGTTGCAGAAATGGAAATTTTTTCAAATAATTACAGCTTCCTCCATAGTACTGCAGGAAAATCCTATGCCAAGGATCACATCTTGTCTGCCCATGATTTGAAAGTGGTTACTGATTTTTGTCTGCCCATTGGAATGGCCTTTCCTTGTGGAAAATAGAGCCAATTCAGACACATTAAATGGAGGCACCAGAAACAGTAGTTTGCTTGGACCAGGAAGAACATGACACCATCCTGCGGTATACAGGAAAGGAAAACCAGGAGCACCCATGGGAAGGGGGCACCCCAGTGCTGCTTGTCAATGGGGGTCCTTTTGTAGGATGCCAAATACCACAGATGCTCATTTGCAAGAGAAAAAACTGCAGAGCTTGAAAAGGGCAGATTGAGAATAATGTGAATTTGCTCATTCTTCTACTTCTTATCCTGACTTGGAGCCACAGAAAATCCTCCCTCATTTGTATCACATAGGACTATTTTTATGTGCCTTTCCACTGCCTTCCACCTACTCATGGAGTCCTGCTGATGACTTTAGTGTCACTTCCCAGTATTTGACTGCAGCTCTTGGTCATTTCCCCAGGTTTTTTGCTGTTTTATGCTGTGCTATAAAGTGGAGTTGCCTCATGGCAGCAGCACTGACTCAGCTCTACCTTGGGAATGCTGTAGCTGATCTCCAGTCAATATTTTAGAGCTTCTACTGTGTTTTCTTGCCATTATTTTCTAATGGCTTAAGACTTTGCTTCAGTTTGGTTATAGCCTGTTCATTGTCTGCCTAATTCCTGAGTATGTCCTGAGAAACTACAAACAGGTGGAGTGGGAGCTTGATGCTGGGCTAGGCTAGGTGACATCAATGACTGCCACTTGTAAAGTCCTTCTGTTGCTTGTTATTCCTTGAGACTTCCACATCCACACAGTCCCACTCATAGCAACCCTAACACTTCTATTTTGAATAAGAAAGTGCCTTTTTACTTCCTTTTTTTTTTTTTTTTTTTTTTTTTTTTTTTTTTTTTTTTTTTTTTTTTTTTTTTTTTTTTTTTTTTTTTTAAGCAGCAGAGTGCCATGCAAGTCCCTGCATGAGTGTTTGTAGCTATAAAAGGACATCAGATGTGGTTGTATTTGCAGACAACAGTGGTACTTCCTCTCTTCGGAAATGGAGCAAGTTTCTATTTTGGGCTGTGCTGACTCAAGGGTGAGGTACCCAAGCTGATTCAGCAGTTTGGCAAGTGAGGAGAACTTCTGGTTATGAATTAAATGAGCAATAAATTTAAGTTTGTCTTCATATTAAAGAAATGTATAATTGAGTGAAGCCACCTCCTAGTGGCAGACATTTTGTCAGGTAAGTGGAATATTCTGCATTGCTTTTGGCAAAAAGACCTCTCCAATTAGACAACCATAAAGCCTGCAAGTAAAATCCTGGTCTCAGGGGAGTCAGAGATTTCTACTTATCCAGACTGGAATTTATCCATTCTATTGAGTCACATAAAAACATCTTCCACTGCTTACTTGCTTACTTAATCTGTGCATCTCATCCTCTCAGTGATATGAAAAAAATGAATAGCAATTTCAGAAGGATGAAAATATAGAACACAAAACCAACCTGGCCACTGCAAGGAAGTGAGAATGCACCACCCATTTACTCAGCTTCCATGGGTTCATATGGAACAGATGTCAAAGGTAACCCTTGTGCTCTTCTGCTATGGAAAAAATGAAATAAACATCGTGATACTTTATAATTTTTAAAACCATGAAGGAGTAACAGTCTTTCACAATATTTGCCAATGTTTATGTGTTAGTCTGTGAAAAGAAGCCAGAAGATTTGTTGAGTTTTGGTTTTCCTAAATGACTTATTTTACCTGGAGGCTTCCAGAATTCAAAATAAAGCTTGCAATAAATGCTCTGCATGTCAGTAAGGATGAAGATACAGAAATTTGTTAGAAAGTGAGATCTTTCTGCTTATTAAGGCCAGACAGCATGAAATGGGGTATCTGAGCTGTCTCCCTTGAGCCCCCTTCTGTTTGTGGATTGTCCAAACAGGTTTTAACATATTTGCCTCCATCTTTATGCTGTTTCCAGGCAGGATCAATAAACTCCACAGTCCCTACCCTATGGCATCCACGATGCCTGTTCTTTCAGGCTGCAAGTTCTTCCTTTGACAGCACACAACAAAAGCTGCAAACTTTCAAAGACCATTCCTCCTCCCCAGCTCCAGGAACCCCGCTGGCACTAAGGCAAGCCGTTGTTCCAGCCAGCCGTTCCCATGCCGTATTCTCTGCCTCGTGAAGGCGGTTTGTGAAGTCTAAAAAAGCATCATGTGGGCTGTCACATTTCAGAGCCCCCTAAATAGCTTTGCATGGCTCCACCAGATAAGCAGTGAAGTACAATATTATGAACGTCAAACAACAGCTCATCATTACAGCTGACAAAGCTTGTTCTTCTGAGAGGGGAAGTAAATACAGTTCCATAGGCTAAATGTGTATTTAGTGGCTTGAAGTTAAAAGAACTCTGCAAGGAGGATTTGCATTTGCCCAGCTACTGCTCTGCGAAATATTTCCTCTAACTCAGTCTCTGAGAAAAGAAACCAGTCACAGAGTATCTTGGAAGGGTGGTCAGAGCTCTCCACAGGGAGCCAGCACAATCAAATCCAGAATAAACCCAGGACTCAGGATCCAGACTGCATGGTGGCTCCCAGCTCTACCAGAATGGCTCACTAAGAAAGTGATCCAGAGGAAGCATCTCCCTTAAAGAATGTCACAGACATGACCCACTCAGGTGCTGCCTTGGAGGGACACGCTGGCTGTTACACCTGTCCTGGATAAAAACGAATCAGAAGGTGGTGGTGGTGGTGAGGAAATAACAAATGCAACCTCAAACCACTTCTTGCTCTCTAAAACAAATCTCAGTCACACGTAAAACGAATCCAAGCATCACTGGTGTTTGTGGTTTTCTGCTTCATGTATTTAACCTGCCACTTGAATTCAACAGAGAAAAATTTACACAATACAAGCAAAGTGAAATTAAAAATTCAGTGTTTCAGGAGACAGTACGAGATCTGTCCCAGCCAGAGCTAATGAAACGGAACAGAACTGTTCCTTGACTGCACATGCAGGGTTTCCACGGAACTTGATAATGACAGGGGAAGGTGGGGAGTGGTTGGGCTGGTGAGCGTTGGGTGGCTGTTCCACCCAAAAGATCAAGTGGAGGAGCAGGATGGAAATCTACAGGTTAAAAGTGTAACAGGAGCTCCTTGGGGGAGCAAGGATTCTGCAGCACCTTGACACCCCCATGTGAAGCTTACCAAAGGAGGGTCTGACAAGTCTCCTTCCATACTATTTCCCTCCTTCAAACCCATAAACAAAAGCTGGGAAAGAGGAACTATTTTATTAGTGGAGATCAAAAGCTGTCTCTGACCAGTAGCCAGACAAAATTTGGTATCATGTGGGTCACTCAGTGAAAACTTGTGATGTAGTCAGTATCTTTGATGTGATTCTGTTTATTCTAAGAATATACAAAGTACCACTTTATGGAGCCCAGGGGAACAAGACAAAAAATCTATGCTGGGATTTCAGTACCTCTTAAATATCTAAGTTCAAATCACCCAACATAAATCTTACATGTTTGCATAAAAAAAAATTAAAAACACAGGTAGTTTTACCTTAAATTCTCTGCCAATGAGGTAAAATTTTTTTTTCAGTTCTCACCTTGCCTTTGAATCCTTGGAAACTGTTGCACTTCTTTAATCCAGCAGATTAAATAAATTTATCATCCTGTATGAAGTAAAAATGTAACTTAAAAGTATATTTAGATGAATCAATAAAAAGGTTGGAAAGAAGTTTTAGTAAATTTATCAATTAATAGCCAAGCCCAGGAGGCCATCCTGCCTTTCTGCTCTGTCAGCTCAGGGATTTCTCTCTTCCCAACAGTGTTTATGTAAGAGCTGCATGGTAAGCAGCACTTGATATAAAATATTGATCAGCTGAGCCATTAGCTGGAATTCAAGAGACAACTGTGTCACAGCAAAACCAGAACAATTATTGCTATTGATTGGAATTTTTAGAGATTATTTTGATATTTGAGCATGTCAGGAAATACAAATTTCTTCTAAATAATAATACTAGAAACATATGTTACAGCATGGCTACAGGACACCTTTACAAAGGAAATGGAAAATAGGGCCGGTTTCAATTTCAGTAATTGTGTGGCCACAGATTTTCTGCTACTATTTTTAAAAAAGAGTATAGAGAGTCATAGGCCATTAAGGCTGGAAAAGACAAGGTCATTGAGTCCAACCTTTGACCCAAAACTACTGTGCCCACTAAACCATACTGTGAAGTACCATGTCCACTTATTTTTCTGAACACTTCCAGGGATGGTGACTCCACCACTGCTATGGGTGATTTGTGCCAGTGTCTGACCACCTTTCAGTGAAGAATTTTTCCCAATATCTGATCTGGTCATGGCACACCTTGAGGCCGTTTCCTCTCATCCTGTCCCTGTTCCCTGGGAGCAGAGCCCAGCCCTTACCCGGCTGTCCCCTCCTGTCAGGAGCTGTGCAGAGCCACAAGGTCCCCCTGAGCCTCCTTTTCTCCAGGCTGAGCCCCTTCCCAGCTCCCTCAGCTGCTCCTGGTGCTCCAGACCCTTCCTAGAACACTTCCCAGCCCCTAAATGTCTGTCTTGTCTTGAGGGGCTGAAAATTTACCCCAGGATTGGAGGTGCCCCAGCACAGGGTATGGTCACTGCCCTGGTCCTGCTGGCCACGATATTACTATTAATACACCAGCGCCATTGGCTTTATTTTACAGGATGCTGTGGTCTTCAGAGGAGAAAGGATTGCAGGAGGAAGGACGGCTGGAGTGAAGTGCTTTGCTGGGGAAGGCTCACCTGGAAAAAAGTAAATAGGATTCAGGGAAGGAGAAGTCACAGTAGGAAGAACTGGGGCTGGAGCTGAGGGGCTGAGAGGGATGAGGTGGGACCAATTTGGGAACATCACCTGTGAGCAAAGGTGAGGGATGCAGAGCTGGGGAGAGGAGAGGGAGCTACAGCACCAGCAGAGAGAAACGCTGTGAAGGAGGAAAGCCACGGTCCATCTGCGAGAAGAGATAATGAAACCGAGGGAGCGGTGCAGGCGAGATAGCGTCAGCCATAAACAAGCGGAGAACGAGGAGAAAAATAACCCAGCCAGTTTACAGCGGGGCTCGAGCCGAATTGTTTGGTGAAGTGCGTGCTGTCTGCGCATGGCAAATGTCAGCTGGTGGGGAGGGCGGTGGCGGGGGCAGCCCGGGAGCCCCGGCGCTCGGCCCCGCGGTCTGTCTCCACTGAGGTGCCGCCCGGCTCCCGCCACCCCCGCTGTCCCGTCCCCCTCACGGAGAGCGCCGCCAGCATCGCGCCCGTCCGCCTCGCGCGGGACCGGCCCCGCTCCCACCCGCGACCCTCGCGCTGAGGCGGGAAGAGTGTGTTTGTGTGCGGGGGGGGGGGCGCGCTCCCGCCGCGCCGCCGCGCCCAATTGGCCAGCGGAGGCGCGCTCCCGCAGCCCCCCCGAACCCCCCCCAGCGCCGTGAGGAAGATGGTGGCGGCCGCTTGAGCGCGTCCCCGCGCTCCCCTTCCTCCCCTCAGACGGGCGGGCGGGCGGAGCGGAGGAGAGTGGCTGCTGCTGCCGTCCCGGCTGGGCGGGCGGCTGAGGGCGGGAGGCGGCCCCTCGTCGGCAGCCGTGCGGGGAGGAAGCGGCGGGCAGCTGCAGCCGACATGGAGGAGCGGTCCCCTCCCGGCGGGGGCCCGGCGTCCCCCCCGCGGGGCTGAGCCAGCGGCCTGCCCGCCCCGCGCCTCGGGAGGGCTGCGGGGGAGCGGGGCCAGCGGCGGGCGGCGGCAGCCCCGGCCCGGCTCGGCCCAGGCGAGGCGACTATGCGGGGCTGCCCCGGCGCGCAGTGTGCGGAGCCCGGCGAGCGGCCGATCGCCGCGGCGCTGCCCGGCCGCCCCTACGCGGCGGGGCCCGGAGGAGACTAGAGGCGACTCTGCGAGGAGCCCGGTGGCTTCGGCAACCCCAGAGACCCAAGTCCGGCGCGGGCTCTTGAGGAGGAATTGACAACATGGCTTCCCCACCGCACCAGCAGCTGCTGCATCACCACAGCACCGAGGTGAGCTGCGACTCCAGCGGGGACAGCAACAGCGTGACGGTGAAAATCAACCCCAAGCAGCACCAGGGCTGCACCTCTTCCAAGCACTGCAAGTACAGCATCTCCTCCAGCTGCAGCTCGGGGGAGTCGGGGGGCGCCCGCCGAGCCGGCGGAGCGGGCGGCAGTGGCTCCGGCCTCCGCCGGCCGAAGAAGCTGCCGCAGCTCTTCGAGAGGGCCTCTTCCAAGTGGTGGAACCCCAAGTTCGACTCCAACAACCTGGAGGAGGCTTGCATGGAGAGATGCTTCCCGCAGACCCAGCGCAGGTTTCGTTATGCCCTCTTCTACATTGGCGTGGCCTGTCTGCTCTGGGGCATCTACTTCGGCATACACATGAGAGAGAAACAGATTGTTTTCATGGTGCCGGCTCTGTGCTTCCTCCTGGTATGTGTAGCTTTTTTTGTGTTCACTTTCACTAAGACTTATGCCCGCCATTACGTATGGACTTCGCTGATACTCACCCTCCTGGTGTTTGCTCTGACCCTGGCTCCGCAGTTCCAGGCTCTGAAGCCTGTCTCAGGAAGTGGTGACATGTCCAACCGGACTCCCCTGGCAGATCCCACAGACACTTGTCTTTCTCAAGTGGGCAGTTTTTCTATGTGTATTGAAGTGCTCTTGTTGCTTTACACAGTGATGCACTTACCCCTGTATTTAAGCTTGTTTCTGGGACTGTCGTACTCGGTCCTCTTCGAGACCTTTGGTTATCACTTCCGTGATGAGAACTGTTTCACACCTCTGGGAGCTGGTGCGGTTTACTGGGAGCTGTTGAGTAAAGCCTTCCTGCACATCTGCATCCACGCCATTGGTATTCATTTATTTATCATGTCCGAAGTCAGATCAAGAAGCACATTCCTGAAAGTGGGGCAATCCATCATGCATGGAAAAGACTTGGAAGTGGAAAAAGCCCTGAAAGAGAGGATGATTCATTCTGTTATGCCAAGAATAATAGCTGATGACTTAATGAAGCAGGGGGATGATGAAAGTGAAAACTCCATCAAACGTCATTCCACTTCGAGCCCCAAAAACAGGAAGAAGAAGCCCTCCATACAGAAAACCCCCATAATATTCCGTCCTTTTAAAATGCAGCAGATAGAGCAAGTGAGCATTTTGTTTGCAGATATTGTTGGCTTCACAAAAATGAGCGCCAACAAATCAGCCCACGCCCTGGTGGGACTCCTGAATGACCTCTTTGGACGTTTTGACCGTCTGTGTGAGGACACTAAATGTGAGAAGATCAGCACTTTGGGAGACTGCTACTACTGCGTGGCTGGCTGCCCCGAGCCCCGGGCAGATCATGCCTACTGCTGCATCGAGATGGGCTTGGGGATGATCAAAGCCATCGAGCAGTTCTGCCAGGAAAAGAAAGAAATGGTGAACATGAGAGTCGGTGTTCACACCGGGACAGTCCTATGTGGCATTTTAGGCATGAGGAGGTTCAAGTTCGATGTGTGGTCCAATGATGTCAATTTGGCCAATCTGATGGAGCAGCTTGGGGTGGCTGGGAAGGTCCATATTTCGGAAGCTACTGCCAAATATTTGGATGATCGTTATGAAATGGAGGATGGAAAGGTGGTTGAGCGCGTGGGTCAGAGCGTGGTAGCCGACCAGTTAAAAGGTACGTGCTTTTATTTTGTGCTTGCTTCTCTTTTGTGAGGGAGCAGAGTTGCCCTAGTGCCTGCTCTGTGCTTGCTGACTGTGTTTTACATTTAACTCGGTGTGCTGATGATCACAAACACCGGAGGAATTACAGGATAAAAGATGCCACAGAGAAAAGCATGAAAGATCATCTGTGGTAGTCAACATAGGCTTTAAAACTCAGCGCTCCTTCTGAGAGTGTTGCCTTGTAGGGAGGAGAAGGTTCATGTGTTTGCTGTCTGTAAGAGGTTTTTGTTTTACTGTTGTGTGTCATCCTTTAATTCAGTAAGTAAACTTGTTAATTGACTTCATGTGCCATACAGAGAGCATATGTGTTTTGCAAAATTATGTGTATCTGTGAAAAGGTTTTTTTGGCATCAGGAGAGTTGGGACTGAGAAGGCATTTGGGAAAAATGACAGCTGGATTCACAGAAAGAAATGAGCACTGTAGATTTGGCAGTTTGATATGGCAAGTTGTTGCAGTTTGGAGTTAGGCTGGAAAAAGTTACTCAGGTGGCTCAGTGAGCTGGCAGATGCACTCCTTTCTGCAGCTCGAGGGATCTGGGGATGAAATGGCAAATTTGCCTTTTGGATAAGAAGAGGAGGGATCCTTCAGTTCCCCTTGGTTAAGAGTCGGATTTTCATTTTTTCTACAATGTTCATTTTGAAATGAAACTCCTGGTTGCTTTCTAGCAGCACTTAGAGGCACGTGCAGGAAGATTGTACGAGCTGAGGATTTAATTGGGTCTTTTGTCAAAGCTGTGTCTCTTCAGTGCCATGTCTTTGTCTCACAGAGAGATTGTTGCAGTGCTCATAGTCCAGGGTGGGGAGCAGATGGATCTAAATGGGAGTGGAATATGTAACAAACCCTGTTAAGGTCTGTGAGTTTTTCTGCTTATAAAAGTACCCATTTTGATGAAGTAAGCTGGAAAACTGAGTGGAAGAACCCGAAGGAGTCATAAACTGGCGTTGTGATGGAGGAAGGAGATATTTGTGGCAACAAACACAAAAGGAGGCCAGGATGGTGGTGGAAAGGTCAGTGAGTAAGGACGTGGGGAGAGCACTGCAGGGCAGTGGTGGCAGTGGCAGCTGCTTGCCCCTGGCAGGTGCTTGTTTTGATGTGACACAAAAACTTATTTTTGGTGAGCGAGCTGTCCGCATGCATACGGCAGCGGGGCTGCAGCACGAGCCTCGCAGCAAGCAACGACATCGGCAGTGACATTGGTGCCTGGGAGCCACAGGGCTGAAGCAGATGTGTGTCCCTGGGCTTTGGCTTTCTGCTTAGCTTCTAAAAATACCGATTCAGTTAAATTCTTTGGAAAGTGTTGACACTGATGTATTTCAGTGGGAGTGTGCTTTCAAGAAAACAGCATCATACGTAACCTTGTTAAGATGAATTTTGCTGTTCTAATGGAAATAAATTGAACAGGTTGTAGAGAAACATCACTGTAGTATTTCCCCTTTCCATATACCTTTACAGCCAAATGTAGTGTGAAGGCTGTGTTGTAGCAACAAATAAAATTCAGTATTTTTACTGCATTTATAACTGTTCTCAATATTAATCCCAAAGTGACATGAACTTAGCTCTGGAGACTGATGGTACTGCTCCTAAATATTCTTGTTTATTTGTTTCTGTTTTGCAGGAGATTACAGGAGCACTGTGTAGAGCAATTATGCCACATGCCAGCAGTGGGTTTTTCATGGTCTTTCTCAGACTTCTGTTCTGTCCTTGGTTGCCATTTATCATGAGAGGGCACAGGCTGCTCTGCCTCCTCAGTACAGAGGTTTGGATTTTGCAGCTCTGAATGCCTTTCTTAGCTCTTGCTTCAGCCAGGGTACTACAGATGGACAAATTGACACGCAGTCTCTATAGATAAGATGAAATTTGCTTTGTGAACTGACGTTTAATGGTCTCTTCTTACCCCGAAATGTAGCTACAAAAGCAGCTGGAGCATGTGGTAAGAATTACTTTAACAAGGAATATGGGTTGGGCTTTGCTTTTTCCCCATTTCCCTTCTGTATTTTTTTTTGTAGAACTGTAATCAGCTGCCATTTCTTACCAATGTCTTATGCAGTTACAGAAATCAGAGGCTGTGTGTACTTCTAAGGCAAGCAGAGCTTTGCCGTGACTGCCCTTAGCCACAGGTTTGTAGCACACTGCTCTGTTCCCTCCCATTGCACAGACCCTCAGGGGACGTGGTAGTTAGTGGGTGCTTCAGAGCTGCCCATTTTTTCCTGTTTCCTCAGAACTTTGTTCTGCAGCCAGATTACTCAGCTTATAGGTAAATGCCATCAGGGGAAAAAATACATCAAAGCCGATGATAAAAGCCATCAAACAGCAGTGCCACGGGCTGGTGTGTAGGATCTGCTGCAGGGGAGGGTTTTGTTGGGGAGCAGCTCTGAGATTTAATAAGGGAAACTGAGATTTCACCTCTTAATTAATTGATCTTTGCCAAGCACCTGCTCAGTTCTGTGAATGGAGGTGCTATTAGGAAGCTTTGCTTTACTGTTTTCCCTGAGAATCTGTTGATAGTTGTGATAGAGGAGAGGAAGTTTGTAGTGGTTATTTA